CACAGTTAACATCTGGCCCTATATAATATAGCTAGGACTAGAGATCTCTTTGAATTCAATACATGTAATCCAATGCCAGGTTACCAGGAACCCGGCCCGCGCGGTCCAGAACCGCAGACACGGCGCGCCCCGGGAGCTGCCTGGTATGCTATCTTAATAGGGGAGGGGAGGGAGAGAAAGGGCAGTGAAGGGAAAACAAGTGACTTTGAGGAAAAACAAATGAATAAATGGAAGATGTGATAGTTTTTTGTGACAATATCTGTTGGTGATTTCCTATCCCAGTGGTGCCAATTTCTACCCTCCCTGGCTGTGAAACTCCCGGGGAGATTTAGGGCTGTTGAATTCTTTTGGGAGCCTCTGCTTTTAGGCAGATAAGGGGAGTTTAGGGGGGAAAACGAACACTTCATTAGGGGTATATTCTGGATCCCTTTATCTCTATTTCAACTCAAAATTCAGAGGCTCTCTGCTGTCTCTTCCCCTCCCCAGGCCAGTTCATCAACCCTGCAAACAGATGCACCGTCACAGAACACCACTCTGGGTCACATAGTTCTGCTCAACACGCTTTAGTAGTTTATCTGACCCACTAAATCCAGTCCGGCTTGGTCTTTTCTATCATCCTGCTTTTGCTTAAATGATTTCCTCTACTCAAAGCTCCCTTGCTGTGCCCCTTATTCGACAATAGGAAGAAAGGCACTACCGTGAGCCAGGCACTCTTCTTAAAGCTCTAGACATTTCAGCTCACCGAGCTTCACAGCCTATGAAGTAGAAACAGTTATCTTCCTATTGGAGATCAGGAGAGGGGAAGGTTGAATACTAAAGCACGGAACCAGAATTTGAACTTGGGGCAGGACGGCTCCCGTCTTCTCCACATAGCACCTTGGCAGGAACTACAGAGCCAGCAGGAGGGAAACGGAGGCACGGTTCTCCAGGCCTCCCATCATCCAGGCTCCTGGCTGGGCTGCTACCTTCTCAGTAGTCTGTGGTGAGCCATGACATACTCAGCCCCACATGGGGCGCCTTATGTGCGGCGCCAGCTCAGCCAGGTTCCTCGTTCGGTGACCCTGAGAGGGGGCGGTGAAGGATTGAGAAAAGACAGACAAGAGAATGAAAGCTGGGTCTGGGTGGAACGCTGTCCTCTCTGATGGGAGAGCTGGCGACAGCGCCATGGACTACAAACCGTATATTTTATAGCCTGATTCCACGGGACAAAGTAAGGGCGTGATCAAGATGTTTACAACATTCTCGTGGGTTTCAAAACTACTCGGTTACATGCACCTGAACTCTTATCAAGCCCACATCACTCAGGCACGTGCTCGGACCATAGGTTCAAGCTTACAACTAGAGCTGTTGGCTATAATTGTGCTGGGAGGGCTCTGCCCTCCAAGCTGGGACTGGCACGTGGCAATGAGAGGACTGTGCCCTCTCATTAGTCCAAGGCTTGAACCTGTCCAAACACTGTAGCTGCTTTCCACAGTAGTCTTTTTCAGAAGTTACATTTCCTTGCTGGTACAGCCTCTTGCTTATGGTAGGTACTCTGTAAACAGTTCTGTTTTATTCAGGGGAGAACCATTTTATTTGTCTTTATCATATTTTCCTCTATTTTATCACTGTAACACATGAAATTTACCATTTTTAAGTGTATGATTCAGTGGCAATAAGTACATTCACAATGTTATGCAACCATTTTAAACTCCCATGTCAAACTTCTTTTTATTAAGGTAAGATATGCATAACATAAAATCAACCTTTCTAAAGTAAACTATTCAGTGGTATAAGAATTCACATTGTAGCATGTGTCAGGATTTTTTTTTTAAAAAGAATAGTTTATTGATTTTTCAGGAGAGGAAGAAGAGGAAGCAAGAAACTTGGATGTGAGAGCACAACATGGATCCACTGCCTCCTGCACGCCCCCTACCAGGGATCAAGCTCACAACTGGGGTACGTGCCCTTGACCAGGAAGCAAACCAGCAACCGCCTGGTGCAAAGGATGGTGCCCAGCCCACTGAACCACACCAGCCAGGACAGGATTTTTCTCCTCTTTAAGGCCGAATAATAATCCATGTTATGTGTATGCCACCTTTTGTTTAATATACTCATTCACTGATGGGCATTTGGGTTGTTTCCACCTTTTGACTGTGGTGAATAACGCAGTGAACACAGGCGCAGTCGTTGTGAACATTTTTCGCGTTTGCTTTTGCGCTCTGTTGATATGCTTTTTTTCTCAAATTGTTACTTTCCAGACAGCATTAACACTTTACCCCTAGATTCATCATTTGTCTCCTAAGAATAAGGATTGTCCTAGTGAACAATGTCACCATTATTAAACCCCTGTGCATGTATAGAGTATAACTTAACTGTACACCTAAAAATAATAAAATGTTATATATAGTTTACAATTTAAACATTTTAAGAGTAGTTTAAAAAGTTATACCCCTCCAGCAGGGAAAAGTCAAAGACCTGTCCCAGGATTTCTCAGAGGCACCATTGCCATTTGGGGCCTGATAATTCTTTGTTTGCGGGGCTGTCCTGTGCATTGCAGGATGTTTAGCAGCTTCCCTGACCTTGACTTGACATTAGCAGCACCTCCCCAGTCATGACAACCAAAACATATCCAGAAATTGCCAAATATCTCCTGGGGGAGGGGCCCACCATCGACCCTGTTAGAGAACCTCTGGTCTATGTTAACTTTGCTGACTGACTGAATGTTGTCTGAAGCTCTACTTCTTACCCGCAGCTCAGCCCAGTCCTCTCCCATTGCCAAAGGAATTGTATTGGTTTTACAACATGCACACGAATAGATGTTTTTCTTTTTATAATTGTGGACCTTTAAAAAAATATTTTTATTGATTTCAGAGAGGAAGTGGGAGGGAGAGATAGAAACATCAATGATGAGAGAGAATCATTGATCAGCTGCCTCCTGCATTCCCCCTACTGGCGATCAGTCCCTCAGCCCTTGACCGGAATAGAACCCGGGACCCTTCCGTCTACAGGCCATAGCTCTATCCACTGAGCCAAATCAGCTAGGGCAGCAGGAGATGTTTTTCAAATAAAGTGACCCTGAAAATGCAGTTTCTCTTCCACTTTGTGCACAACAGAAAAACAAAGCTCTGGAGAAGTCATTTGAATATAAAGCTCCTATCTCCATGTTTAGACTGAGGTCCTCTATCATTTGTGTTGCCTGGGATTGTGGTGCAATCAGATAAAACAAGTTTGACAATGATTTAACAAAATTCTTTAATAAAATTTATAAAAATGAATATTTAGGAATATGTTTTATCAGCCTGAATTGTTTTTCCATCCCCAAAGAAAATAGAAATTATCAGCACCCGCACACATATACACTCAAAACTATAGTGACTGTCTATACAGAACTACATTAGAGTTTAAATTGCTTAAAAAATCAAGACAATTCCAAGAAGTGGTTGCAGGGATGATTTTTTCCTTCGAAAAACAGTTGATAGACAGTAAGCAATTTTCTGTGGTTGTCAAATGTTTTTGATAGTCGCATCTCATCTAAGAGAATATCTCAATCGAGGTTCTCCTTACCCCCAGGAAAAAAAAATTGGAGTTCCTAATATTCTGTCTTCTCAGATTTGGGGACATACGTGTCCAGATCAGCCACGACTTCCTGTGGACATCAACAGAAGCAAGCACTTGGGGAGTCTATGGACCATGGTCTTGAGATCTGGGTAGGAAACACATGTTGAGATTCTTCCCATTTTTTTCCAGAATTTTCAGGGCTAGAGGTAAAGCCATGTCAACCATTCTCGGCCTCAGTTTGCTAAATTGCCAGGCTCCACGACAATTTCTCCTGCCATCTCCAAGCCCACTTCTCATGTTTTCCATCAGCGGTGAAAAGCCATCTTCTCTCTTTGGCTGCCACACTTTCGGCACTGTTCCGAGTCTCGAAATACTTCAGTCTCTTTTAAGTTTTTTCGATAAACATTAAAAAGTTAAGTGGCACCTGAAAACTCCCGCTGTTTCTGATCAAGGCTCCTTGTTTAGAACCAAAGTACCCCATAAGGACATTCACATAACAAACATTCTGACTCAGAACAAGTAAATGGGTAGATGTCCATTTCAAGTTACACACTTAGGAGATGAAAAAAGAGAACTGTTTAAGACCTTAAGAGTATACAATACCCAGTCACAATATGGCCAGACTAAGACATAGCCTCTTACCCTAAAAGGGCCTAATAGTTTCTGCCTCACAGAAGTCCTGTCTGGGGTAACGTAAATTGAGGAGTGAGAGTGGATACTGGAACATGGGACACCCGTGCAGTGATAGGATAAAAAAAAATTAAAAATTAAATTTTATGTATATAAAAACAATAGGGCATTCAACCCCACGCCTTCCTTTTAAAAATGAGACACGCCCTTAAAAAAAATCTGCAAGTTGCAAGCTTGTAAAGAGTGATGAGAGAAAGAAAGGACTCAAGGAATAGTCAAAATCGTTCTAACACACAGATTAGATCTACAAAGTGAAAATTATAACTACCCTAGCGGCATCACTGATCAGTCTCTCTTCCCCAGATATTCATCTCACATAAGGGGAGCTGAAAGACCTCCAGAAAAATTATTCCTACATTTCCCAGCACACGAGTATAGAGACCCATCTCTCTCCTCATCTGCCTTGAGTCCCCTAATCATCCACGCCACCGCCATACATATCTGCCAGCTTCTTGAAGCGATTGCCCCATTCATTCAGGTAGTCATAGTCCTGGTCTCGGTCTGACTCCGAGGAGTTCAGGGAGCTCAGACTAGCAGCTTCGGAACCACTTCCTTCGTAATCAAACACGAGCAGAGAGTCGTAAGGGGGAGCCGTGGGGTCGCTGTCGGCCGCCTTCAAATTCTAAAAAAGAAGGAAGAAAACAGGATCTTTCAATGAAGGGAGCCACACACCTGACATCTTAGGCAAGATGCCTTCTCTTACCCCCTGGCAATGGGCAAGGAGACACCTGATTGGTGGTGTTGCTCTTGTATCAATCAGGGGCAGAGCAGACATGCAGTCCTTAGTTCATGCTAGCTTGATGCCTGTCTTGGTGGCCAGAGCTGTTTCATGCCTGAGGCACATTTAAAAAAAAAAAAAGATGCCTTCTCTTGATGCCTCAAGCAAAGTGGACCGCATGACAGTGCGACCATCACCCTGTAGAACCCCAGTAGCAATCAACACCAGCAAGGTAAATTTATACAAACTGCCCCGAAGACAGACGTGACATGTTGTTAATGAAAACAAAGTTAAAGGAAAATATGAAGAATATTTTTCCCCCTAAACATGAAAACGGTAAGTTGTTTGTAAGGAGGGAAGATAGAGGCACCAATCGACCTGGATGGACAGATGTCACCCAGAAACCAAACAGGATCTACTTTGTATCTCTTTCATTTCATTTCTAATTCTATTCAGTCTTTTCAAGTAATTCTTGGTGTTGCCATAGGGACTTCCCAGTTCACGAAGATCCATTGGAAATGATATTTCTGAAATTCAGGTGAGGCACACAAAAATAGGGTTCGGGGATCATGAAAGATGGCGAAGGGAAGAATCTAGACTCTCTCCAACTTTGGACACAAAGGCTCCTTTCTAAGTTTGGAGGTGAGTTGTGCCTTGGCTTTTGACTTTGCTGACTTACTTCATCAATGAAGTTTCCAATTTCATCGGGATTGGCAGGGCGGGGCCGATACTGGGGCATAGTCAGGAGGGTTGGCGCCACATCATTGCGAGTCACTTCCGGCCGAGCATCCAGGCCCCTGTGCAACTGGCTCAGGTCAAAGTCCTTTGGAGAAAAAGGTAAACGCATAGCAAAGAGTAAATCAGGAACGGGTTCCGTTTGGTTTGCAGGTTATGGGACTGGATAATGCCTTCACTGCCAACTACAGATTGACAGGCATGTGCCAGTGTCAGCTGAAATGGTAGTTTTCAACCAAAAAGTCTCCAAGACAGCATTGGAAGGAAATACAGCACAAAAGGATTATGAGAAACGCTTGCAGGTAGAGATGGAGATGGCTGTACCTTATTAACTTCTCACAGGGTATGATTATTAGGTTGTTATTCAGCAAATATTCACGCCCTTCCCACCCTCTCAGGACTCTGTAATGGGTCTGATGCTTCCCTTTCTAAAAAACAGCAGACTTTTAAAACTTCTCTGGTAAAACTCCAGGGTAAGGCAAGTTAAAACCACCCCCAAATCAGGACAAATAAAGAAAACCTAAAGATTTAATATCTACAAAAAGTAAAAAAAACAGTTTAGCCTAGCTAAAATAACTCAAGGGGAAAAAATACGAAGCCAGATCAGCTGCTCCATGTCAAAGATAACTTGAATGGAGTTCATTTTCTGAGACTTAGCAACGAGCAGAGTAGGCTCTGGAGTCAGACTGCCTGGTTCTAGTGCTTCCTAGCTGTGTGACTTTGGGCAAGTTGCTTAACTGCTCTGTGCCTCTGTTCAGTAACTTGAGGGCAGAACGGTACGCATTCAATAAATGTAAGCAATGTTGTGTGGATGACGATGGCTAGTGACAACGTCTATGTTCTTGGGCAAGGCTTTAAAAAAACATAATATACAAAATGACACAGAGCTATTTCCAATGTCTGCCGTCTAACCATTGCTTCTTCCAAATAAACTGCCACTAAGATTTTTAACCACAGTTTTTAAAACCCACCTGGTCCTCTTCCCCACCTCCTTCTTCATCATAGTAATACACGTTGTCCCGGGTGTCATCCTCCGGGGGCAGTAAGGGCTCTTTGACCACCCGCCTCCTCCGGACAAACAGCAGCAGCAGCAGAATCAGGACTGTAAGGGGAAGACAGAGGTCAAGAAGGCCATACGCGGCGACTGTCAGCTCACACTGCCTCGCACACCAGACGGATGGCTGTTAGACAACCGACGTGGCGATGCTCACATCCCTGCAGGTAACATACGCATTACAGCAGACCGGACAGTATGTGCATTCACGTGCGGTCTTGATTTCACAACTGGATCTGAAACCAATCGGTTATTTTCCAAAATCTGAGGGAAAGTGTTCCAAGCAGTGGACACGGTTCCAGTAAAGGCCTTGCGTGGTGTGATTCAGGAAGGGGAGGTCAGCATGGCTGTAGCAGGATGCGTGAGGGGGAAAGAAGTGTTGAGGAGGTCAGAGGGGTAGCCAGGACATGTGGACCATTGGAAGGACTCTGGTTCTGAGCGAACTGATGCCACTGGAATTTTTCGAGCAGGGTGGGGCCAGCCTAAATGTGATGTGACACATGCATATTATTGTTAATCAATTATAGGGGTGGGGCACAGACTATTAAAAATCACCTGGTATATACCTTATCTTCTCTTAAGATAAAATCATGCAAGCAAGCTTTAAAAGCTGTTTAATTTCCAGGGTTTTCATCTGATCTTGGGATAATTCTAAGATATACAATTAACATTTAATGTTTTAAAAATTTCAAACTGTTTATTGTAAATAGCTCAGACATAGAAGATACTGTGTCACAGCAGGATTCAAAGCCACAAGATAGGCATTTTGCAAGAAAGCACATTGCTCCAAAGGTGCAAAGGCAAAATACCCAAAACTATTTGCAAGAGGAAGGCAGTCCACCCATTGTTCCAGGCATACAGAAAATTTGAATACAAACATGGGGTTGTTCTCATAATAATTCAGATGGAGAATATATGGCTGGAAAACTAGCTGATTATGGGCATAAAATTGATTATAGTGTTTCATAGAATGAAAGATGGCTGCTATCTTTGTTCTTGTTAGAACAAGAAGATCCCCCGGAAGAAATACCAGATTCTGCCCTGGCCAGGTAGCTCAGCTGGGTAGCACATCGTCCCCGTATGCCAAGGTTGCAGCTTTGATCCTTGGTCAGAGCACATACAAGAAGCAACAATACAAGAATGCTGCTACCTGAGGGACTGGTACTACCCTGAGAAGTGCTACCCAGGGGGACTGAGCACATACAAGGATGCAGAAATAAGTGGGACAACAAATCGACTTTTTTTGAAACTGTAAAAACATCTGTGTCAACCCTAGGTGGGCTAGGGTTAGATAGTATCAGTTTAAAACCCTACAGCAGAAACCGCCAAATTTTTCCCAGTATCCTTTTTCTCCTTCATTCTTTCAGTCATTGATACTCACTATTCACTCCACACTCCACCCTTGCCCTCTGCTAAGTCTTAATAGAGCACATGGTCACCCAGTTAGAGTGGGGACTTCCAGGTGTGGCTGTGTTTGGGCCAAGGGGGTGTGAGTGAAGGTGATGTGTGCAGTTCCCAGATGTGTCCCTTCCCCTTCCTCGATCACCCCTCCTCTGGGATGGAATGTGCGGAGGTGAGCTGGCTGGCTCCGACCATGCTGATGAGGACAGCATCCCAAGGCCTTGCTGCCCTGAGTTGGTCTCGGGACTCTAATGTCCAGCATCACGTGGGAGCTGGTTAGAAATGCTGAATCTGAGCCCCGCCCCAAACCTACTGGATCAAAACTGTCATCTTATGGAGAGACACAGGTAAAAACAACAACAACAAACAAAGAGGTACAGGTCATTTGTCTGCCCATGAGCTTGAGAAGTACTACCCTGCTGGATTGAAAGAACAGTAAAACAGAAGGACTGGGCCCCTGTTGACTTAACACATTGCGGACCAGCAGTTTTATTGTTAGCTTTACCCAGTGGCCAGATAAGTTTCCATTGAACGAGTACAAAAAACGTTTTACATAAATGTTTAGGGCACGCTTTAAAATTAAATACCCCTTGCATTTTGAAGTTATTTATTACCTGTGCTTACAAGCTAATATCTTTTTAAAGAATTCTCGTGATTGGCCACAAGCCTTAGAACAGAAAACACAAGAATTCTCGTGATCCGTCTGCAATGTGTTAATACAACAGGTGGCCTTCCAGTCCTGGACCTCTGACCTCTGAAATGTTCAGCAAGTGATAAAGTTCCCCCATTTTAGAAGGCAAAGTACACTTGTCAGCTGTACTTACTTAGCAAAGCAAGGATGCCTCCAAGAATCCCCAGGATGGCAGGAAGCTGCAATCCACCTTCGACAATGGCTGCGTTCCTCTTACAGCTGCTGACGGCCCCTTCGCAGTCACACACATACACTTCTAAGGTGGTCACCTGGTCTTTGTTCTGGTTATCTTCCAGCCTGAGGTTTATTTTGTAGTCACCCAAATCTAAGGTTTTCTTTGGCTTCATAATGATAGATTCACGTTCTAGAGGAAGCAACAAAAATAAATGATGGGATCAGGAGAAAAAAAGGTTACTGTCGAGTAAGATTATTAAGGAACTCAAGATGTTCCAAAGCTGCTTGGATTGGAGATTACTGAGCAGTATGTTCCAGAGTCAACCAGCAGGGAAGGGGGGCGTTTGGTGGCAGCCTCAAATGTAGAGAGGACAAGGAAACAAGCATTGAATGAAAGGGGTGACATCTGCAAGTTGAGAAGGGAATTCGGAAGGGAGGGGGTGGGGGTGGGGAAAGCACGAAAGTCAGAGCAAAGTTTCCAAAAGGAGAGGCGAGTTCCCACCTGGGTCATTGTACTCAATGGTCCAGTTGACACTTGCCCCGTGAGTTAGTTCTGCTGTGAAAGGCGATGTGTTGGGGGGAAGATCTGGGTCAACGATGTTGATGATATGAGGCTGTGGATCCCTCTGGCAGAATTCCAAAATTCGAGGTTCTGGTACAGGGGCATTGTCATTCACATCGGAGAGGATCAGGAGAAGGGTTCCCGTTCCAGTAGCAAGTGGAGAACCTAAGAAGAAATACATACGCTATACCACAGCTCGGGAACATTGATGAATCCCTACTGCCTCCCATAGACTGAACCCAAAGCTTGTCCTGGCTCTTCAGGGGTCACCAGCCCACAGAGCCTCCTATCCTGCCAATCCCAGGGCATCCTCACTCCTGGTTGGGCAGGTCTCCGACATGCTAATTCCCCATTTTGATAACAATTGTTCAAGTTACTAGAGGCCCGGTGCACGAATTCATGTACTGGTGGGGGCCGATCGGCTGGGCCGGCTGGGGAAGGGGCCACAGGTGGTAGGCTGGCTGGCCCCGCCCTCTGGTCAAACTCCTAGTCAAACTCCTGGTAGACGGGGTCAATTTGCATATTAGCCTTTTATTATATAGGATTTATTATATAGGATTCCTCATACCAAGAGCACGCTCCTTCCTCCTCTTCACCTATCTTTATTCATTCATTAAATTTCCACCACTCTAAGAAGTCTGCATTGCCCCCACCAGTTCTCCCTTTTCTAAACTTCTATGGCTTTAAGGTTATTAGCAAAGGGTTTGAGCCTTGTAAAATAGCTCCAAGTAGATTTTCAAAATAGATTTGGAAGCTCATACACACTTCTTTTTTAAAAAATATTTTTTATTGAGTTTTAGAGAGAGAGGAATGGAAAGGTAGAGAAAGAGAGAAGCATGGATGTGAGAGAGCAACATCGATCAGCTACCTCCTGCACGCCCCCTACCAGGGATCGAGCTCACAATCTGGGCATGTGCCCCCACCAAAATTGAACTGGCAACCTTTTGGTGCATGGGACAATGCCTGAGCTACACCAGCCAGGCCTTACAACTTCTGTTTGCATTTCTTTTATATCCTGATACAGTGGCTAGCATATGGTAGTAAAAAAAAGAAAAGTAGTTACTCAACGAATCATCATCATCATCAGTATTAGTATATTATAGGGGGTGGGGAATAAAACCCCGGGGACTATATCTCAAACCTGTAAATAGTGATACCTGGGTGGCAAGGCTGTAGTGATTATTTTCCTTTGACCATTTTTTTTTTAGTGGTTAAAAAAACAATAATCACATAGCATAAAATTTGCCATCTTTTTAAGTGTACAGTCCAACAGTCACCTTGTTGTGAAACAGAGCTTTTTCACCTTGCAAAACTGAAGCTCTGTATCCATTAAACAATTCCCCGTTCCTCCTCCAGTTCTAGTAACCACCACTGTACTTTCTGTTTCTATGAACTTGACTTTAATCCTCATGTTAGTGGAATTATACAGTATTTGTCTTTGTGTGACTGGCTTATTTCAATTAGCATAACGTCCTCACTGTCCATCCATGTTGCAATATGTGATGGATTTCCTTCCTTTTTAAGGTTGAATAATATTCCATTATGTGTATATTCCATTATGTGTGTTATTCTTTCATTGGTGGGTAGATTTTTTTTTCTACTTTATCATGTGAATTTTCTTGTTTTAACAATGAGCATGTATCACATCTTTTTAAAGAAAACTTTTTTTTAATGAGCTGAAAGATTTTCTGATGAAACTTCATTCTTCTCGTAGACCTACACTGAGAACTACTGAGGCAAGCACAAAGTAACATTTTAAGGAATCATTTAGAATGAACACATTCCGGCCAAATTAGGAAAACAGCGATGCTCCTCCCTTCATAGACTGTCTATGAGTGCTCCTAGACTACAATGGCAGCAGAGACTGTATGGCCTACAAAACCTCAGATATTTACTTCCTGGCCTTTACAGAAAGTTTGTTGGCCCTTGGTTTAGATACCATTCCCTCCACTCATCTCAGGCCGGGATAGGGAATTCCCATGCAGCCAGAGACAACTGGCCAGTGTGGGACTGCAGCTGAAGCCATGGGTTAGCTTTCCCTTTATGCAAAAGCCTTCTGTGCCCTAGCCAGTTTTGCTCAATGGCTACAGTGTCAGACTGCGGACCAAAGGGTTCTGGGTTCGATTCCAGTTGAGGGCACGTACCTTGGTTGCAGGCTCCTCTCCAGCCCGGGCCCTGGTTGGGGCTCGTGCAGGAGGCAACCAATTGATGTGTTTCTCTCACATCGATGTTTCTGTCTTTCCCTCTCTCTTCCACTCTCCCTAAAAATCAATAGGAAAATATCCTCGGGCAAGCATTAATAACAACAAAAAAGCATTCTGCGAATAGAGACCCTTCATGGCTGTATTTGCCTTGCCCTCTGCTTTCCAGATTATCAAGTCTGGAATTACTACCTCAGGAGGTTAAGAAATGAGAAAGGGGAAGAGAATTTAATCACAGGAAGCTAGCAGGTCTCTTTAAAAGTAATTCTGCGCCCTAGCCAGTTTGGCTCAGTGGATAGAGCATCGGCCTGCAGACTAAAGGGTCCCAGGTTCAATTCTGGTCAAGGGGACATGACCAGGTTGTGGGCTCGATCCCCAGTAGGGGTGTGTGGGAGGTGGCCGATCAATAATTCTCTCTCATCATTAATATTTCTATCTCTCTCTCCCTCTCCCTTCCTCTCTAAAATCAATAAAAAAAATATATTTTTAAAAAAGTTATTCTACTTCTGAGTATCTACTTCAGGGAAGTAGTTGCACATAGAGGCGTGCACAAGGATGTTTCCTTATCACTCATGTGAACAGTGAAGAACTGAAAACAACTTCCATGGTCTTTTAATGAGAAAATGATTAAATTATGCTGTATCCAGATAACATCATTTTATTGAAAAGAGTTACAGGCACATCTTGTTGTTTTTGTGCTTCGCTTTTAAAAAATATTTTTATTGATTTTAGAGAGGAAGGGAGAGGGAGAGAGAAATAGAAACATCAATGATGAGAGGGAATCATTGAGTGGCCGCCTCCTTCACACCTAACACCGGGGATCAAGCCAGCAACCTGGCCATGTGCCCTGACTGGGAATCGAACTGTAACCTCCTGGTTCATAGGTTGACGTCCAACCACTGAGCTACACTGGCTGGCCAATAAAAATATTTTTAAAAACCACACACAGAAATAGTCTGGAAGGAACCACACTTAACTAATAATGAGGATGATGATAAAAATAATGACAGTTCTCATGGAGCATGTACTCTGTGGCAGGCACTCTTCTGGGCACTTTTTTTTTTTTTTTAATATTTTATTGATTTTTTACAGAGAGGAAGGGAGAGAGATAGAGAGTTAGAAACATCGATGGGAGAGAAACATCGATCAGCCGCCTCCTGCACATCTCCTACTGGGGATGTGCCCGCAACCCAGGTACATGCCCTTGACCGGAATCGAACCTGGGACCTTTCAGTCCGCAGGCCGACGCTCTATCCACTGAGCCAAACCGGTTTCGGCTTCTGGGCACTTTTTACATATAGTAACTCATTAAGTTCTGATGGGAGATTATCATTTTGTCAGATAAAGGAACTGAGGGACATAAAGGTTAGGTAATAAGTTCAAGGTCACACAGGCACTGAGCTTTAATCCTAGGATTTAAACCCAGACAGCCTGGCTGCGGTGGGGAAGGAGTGGGGTTCGGGTATAGAGAAGTGGTGAAAAGGAACTTCTGCTTGACTGAAATTATTTGCATTTTTGACAATGAGAATGGTTTTGTTAAAGAAAAAGAATGAACTCATGCTTCCAAAAGAAGGGTGGGGGGCAAGGAAGTGAGCAAGGCGAGGCAGCAAAGGCAGAGAGGAAGGGTGGCCTTACCATTGTCAGTAGCTATAATGAGGGCCGTGTACGTGCTGTTCTTCACGTGATCAACGTCCTCTCTGTCCATCTCAGCCCGGGTGGAAATGGCACCGGTGTCCGGGTTAATCTCCAGCCAGTTGGCAGTATCCCGCCAAATCCGATACCTGAGAAGGCACAAGCTCTGGCTTAGAATTGGAACAGTGAATCGCATGTAGCTGATGAATTCTAAAGTTCCTCTTTGTTGATCAGTTCCAACTTCTCTACAATTTTGACTTCCATATTTTCTTTTAAAATATCATACCTATACAAAAGTTGCCAGAAAAGCGTGAAAAGCATCCATGTACCCTTCACCTAGATTCACCCGTTGTTAATATTTTGCTATATACAAAAGCTGACACACATTTACATAATGTCTTGTTTTGCTGAATTCACAAGAATATGTTGCAGACATGATGTTCCTTAACACACTGAAATATTTATGAGTAATCATCTCCAAAGAACAAAGGCATTCTCTTATATAACCAACAATGTGATTTTCAATTTCAGAAAATATAACCTTTGATAAAATACTATTAACAAACATATGGTACACATTCAAATTGTCAATTTCCCCCAAACTGTCCTCACACTACACAGGTGGATGGTGTGTCCTTGGTGCCTCTCATTAGGAGGTACATGGTGTCTGTATGTCCTTTTATTGATGTTCCCTTTGATCACTTGGATAAAGGAGAGTCAACAGGCTTCTTCCCAGTACAGGTAAATGTTTCCTCTTCGCAATTAACCTATACTCTGAGGGGAGATAATCTGAGAATATCCTGTTCAACTAACTTTCCTCCCATAGATTTAGCAACTGTGGATAATTCCTGCCTGAATAATGAGTACTATGATTCTTATGTATTTTTCAAAGCAAACCCTTACAGAGTTTGGCACCACTCAGCATCCCCACCATTAGCATTTGGAGATTTGGTGACTTGGGGGTGGGCCGCTATAGTGGCATTTTAAAAAATATATATATTTTTATTGATTTCAGAAAGGAAAGGAGAGGGAGAGAGAGATAGAACCATCAATGATGAGAGAGGATCATTGATTGGTTGTCTCCTGCATGCCCTCTACTGGGGACTGAGCCCACAACCCAGGCATGTGCCCTGATCGGGAATCAAACCGTGATCTCCTGGTTCATAGGTTGATGCTCAACCACTGAGCCAAGCTGGTCGGGCTATAGTGATATTTAATGGTAGGTGTGAAACAGGCTAAAACTCCTTATGGTGATGCAGAGCAAAAAAAATGCTTTATTCAAAATGCCAAGTGAGTTCTTTCCATCATCTTTCCATGCCTCCATAATGGTGCACATGAATGTTCTGGCTGATGTTCTCAAGAGGATCAATAATGCCAAAAGGAGAGGTTCTTATTAGGCTGCGCTCCAAAGTCACCATCCGGTTTCTAACTGCGATGATGAAGCATAGTTACATTGGCAAATTTGAAATTATTGATGATCACAGAGCTGGGGAAATTGCTGTGAACCTCACGGGCAGGTCAAACAAGTGTGGAGTGATCAGCCCCAGATTTGATAAGCAACACAAAGAACCTGCTCCCATCCCATCAGTTCTGTTTCATTGTACTGACAACTCTAGCAGGCACTGCACCATGAAGAGGGAAAAATCTGGGATTCTTTTTCTAGGGATGTAATACATACATGCAAATAAAATGTGTTACAACAATAACAACAACAACAACAACAAAGGCCAAAAGCCAAGAGAACACTGTTAAGCAACTCCTTATTAGGAGTACAAAAACCAATCCAACAGAAGACACAAAGGCATGACAAACAGGGCAATACTGCTCAGTTACTCACTGGGGTCAGGAAAGACTCAGAAAGGCAAGCAAAGAAACCTAAGGAGGTAAGAGCCTTGGATACCTATGGGCTTAGCCCCACCTCCTTAGAAGTGCAAAGCAATGAACCACACAGAGTGAGTGGCCTTTATCCAAAGGGCGGCTACACAGACTATTCAGACTTGGTCCCTGACCCAAGGGAGGCTTTGAACTACCTATTTCACTACTGCAAGCTACGATATCAACCCAGCCTGGAAACCCCTGGAACAAAAAGACTACGTTATCTTAGTTCTTTACTATCCTTTTGAAGTTTGATTAAAAACACATCTTTTTTGGCATGGCTCAGTGGTTGAGCATCCAAGTATGAACCAGGAGGTCATGGTTCAATTCCCAGTCAAGAACTGACACATGCCTGGGTTGCAGGCTCCATCCCCCAGTTGGGGGTGTGCAGGAAGTAGCCAATCAATGATTCTCTTGCTTTTTTAAAAAATTTAAATTCTTTGTTGTTTCAAGTATTACATAAGTCTCCTTTTCCCCCCCTTGACCTCTCCCCTGCCACCCCTACCCCCCAGCACATGCCCTCACTCCCCCCCGTCTGTGTCCATTGGTCATGCTCATATGCATGCATACAAGTCCTTTGGCTGATCTCTTACCCCCCTACCTCCCGCCCCCGAACCCTCCCCAGCCTTCCCGATGCAGTTTGACACTCAGTTTGAGGCAGCTCTGCCTCTGTATCTATTATTGTTCAAAAGTTTATAATGGTCTCAATTATCCATGAATAAGTGAGATCATGTGGTATTTTTCCTTCATTGACTGGCTTACTGACACATGCCTGGGTTGCAGGCTCCATCCCCCAGTTGGGGGTGTGCAGGAAGTAGCCAATCAATGATTCTCACATCTCCCTCTACTTCCCCCCCCGCTTTCCAAAGGCTTTACTGGTAAATGTGCTTCAGAAAAGAAAGATCGACCCTATTGCTTCCCAGTCAATGGAATGAAGAACTATGTCCAGGGACACACCCAAGTGGAGCCAAAGAGGACTGATGCTTTGTCCTCCTCTTATTCATAGATCCAGTCAAAAGCACAAGACTTGTAGTCGACCAATCCTTCAGGCTCACACCACAGGCTGACCTCTCTCTCGGCGCTTCTTACTGAATCGCTGCCGAGAATGATATTCCGGCCAACTTGGACGCAGACGTCTCCGAGAACGATGCCTGGCTTAGAATCTGCTGGGTGGGTCTCCTCAAGCATCACTGTCCCTGTGTTCACCACATTCAGCCCCGGCCAGACCATGGCTGCCACAGGCCCCGGGTTCCTGTAGCAAACCAGCCAGAGAACCAGCCCGGGGCAGAATGGGCGGTCTTTCAGCTCAATGCTGTGCTGCTTCAGAAGTTCCTTCCTCGGGGGCCCGAAGGAACTTCATGGCCACGAGCGGAATCTCTTCTGCTCGAAGCACTTGATGTTGCCCACCAGGCCGCGCTGCCGACGGCTGGATGGCGATGAAGGAGTGCTCCGTTAGCCATGGAGGGAGAAGCGGGCAGGCAGGCAGCAACCGCTGCGCTGCCAAAAACACATCTTATCCCGCCCTCACATTTTGTACCATGAAGAAGAATCCTTGGATTGTGAGCAGGACATCGACTGCATGTACAAAATTATGGTATTTTTAAAGCAAATCTCAAACACCAGAAGATTTCTTTTGCAAACACTTCAGCATGTATCCTGTACAGAAAAGGTTATTTATTTATTTATTTATTTTGTTAATCCTCATTGGGGGATTTTTTTTTTTCCCATTGATTTTTAGGGAGACTGGAAGAAAAAGGGTAAGACAGTGAGAAATACTGATGTGAGAGAAACACACCGATTGGTTGCCTCCTGCAGGGGCCCTGACCAGGGCATGGACTGGGGGGGAGCCTGCAGCCGAGGTATGTGCCCTTGACCAGAAATGAACCCGGGACCTGTTGGTCTGCAGGCCGACGCTCTAGCCACTGAACCAAACTGGCTAGGGCAATAAGGTTTTTTAAAATACATAATCACAATGCCACTAGCACACACAACAAAAACAATAATAATTACTTAATGTCATCTAATGCCGAGTCTTTGTTCACATTTCTCTAATTGCCTCAAGGGTGTTTCTGATAGTTGGATTGTTGAACCCATAGTCAAGCACAGCCTACACATTACAGCTGGTTGGTTAGTCTCTTAACACTTTCATCTACAGCAGTCACCCTCACCCTTTTGCCATTTATTTGTTGAAGAATTATGTCATTTGTCATACAATTCCCACATTCTGTATTTGGCCGACTGCTTCCTCTTAGGATTTAACTTGTTTCTTCATTCCCTGTAATTCTTCAATATCAGACTCTAAGACTTGATTAGATTCTGTTTCAACTTTTGTCTTCTCCAAAAACGATTTCTTAAGTGGCGCTGGGCACATGCTGTCGTATCCAAGTGGCACATCAAGGCGCGTTGTCATTGCTTTTTGAGTAAATGTTAAAATTAATCAAAGATGTGCATGCTATAGGCCTGGTTCCTTCATTTTAAAATTCCCCATCGTCCTTTAGCTAATGATGCTCGCAGCCTCTAAGATCACTGGCCGCACCCTCCACACAGCTCATCCCGAGCAGTGGGTATTTAAAAGTATTTACAAGCCTCTCATTCAGGATACAAGTAACACTTCCGGAAAAACCTCAGAAGTTGAAGTCACACTTAAAACTCTTTCCATCTGCTTCTTTTAAGTTTCATAAGTCACATGCCTGGAGGCTAAAACACAAATACCGTCCACAACAATAACACACTCAATTACCAAACAAACCTGACTCTCCTCTGGATTTTTAATGTATTTTTTTATTTTTCAAATATATTTTTATTGTTTTCAGAGAGGAAGAGAGAGGTAGAAACATCAATGATGAGAGAGAATCATTGATTAGCTGCCTCCTGCATGTCCCACATTAGGGATTTAGCCTGCAATGTAGGCATGTGCCCTGACCGGGAATTGAACTGTGACCTCCTAGTTCATAGGTTGACACTCAACCACTGAGCCACACTGGCTGGGCTTGTATAACATTTTTATAAATAGTACAGAGGTTCTGACAGATTCCTCTAAAGTAGGTATTAACAAGTAGAAATCTAGCTCTCTGAGAAGAGGAAGTGAGTACAACAGAGGAAAGGCCTCCATTACCCCTGGAAACCACACTTACTAACAAGACACATGTGTGTCATATTTGGGTTTGTGCTTTAATAGTTTTTCCTAGTCAAACCCAGCTCTCAAAAGTTTAGAACACTGTTGCTGTTGGTTTGTGCGTATTTTCAGTATCGGTGGCTGTAATTTACACCATAGAGGTGCCTTCAAGTTTAAAGAGAACAATAAACTACTTATAGACAACTAGAGGCCTGGTGCACAAAATTTGTGCACGAGGGCCTCAGCCCCGCCTGCACCCTCTCCAATCCGGGACCCCTTGGGGGATGTCTGACATCCCTCTCACAATCCAGGACCGCTGGCTCCTAACTGCTCACCTGCCTGCCTGCTTGATCGCCCCTAACCACTTCTGCCTGCCTGCCTGCCTGCCTGCCTGATCGCCTCTAACCGCCTCTGCCTTGGCCCCGCCACTGTGGCTTTGTCCCGAAGGACATCCGGAAGACGTCTGGTCTATCCGGTCTAATTAGCTTATTACCTTTTTATTAGTACAGATACCATATATGTAAATTAAAACCACATTCCTACTATACTACATGAACTCAAAGAGAGGAAGCATGGTAATCCTAGAATGGCTAGCTATAGAGGGAAGGGGAAAAGGTGTGGGGAATGGAAATAAAAAGGAAATTTTAAAAAATAACAATTAAGAGAAGGGTCTTGCACAGACCAATGATGATAAACTGTTAAAATTAAGTATTTTATATACATGCACCCAGTTGCTCCAAGTCAGTTGCAAAATCCACACTTACGTTATCTTCTGGTCCATGAACGTGTCTGGATCCTGGGCAGTGTACGATGTGATTTCCTGTCCCACCGGAAAGTCTTCGGGCACCTCCACTCTCTTTTGGGGAGGCATGAAGATGGGGGCTTCGTTCACATCCATCACATCCACAGTGACCGTGGCTGTAGAAGTAGACAGAGCGACGTCAAAGTCGACCTTATTCTTCACTGTCACGTAGAGAATATACTGCTGCTTGGCCTCAAAATCTAAGCCCTAAAAAAAAAGTTTTAAAATTGTTAGTAGAAAAAACAACAACAACACTTAATTATTGCTTTTGGTTAGCAATGTACCAGTAATCCTCAACTCTGGCTGCATTTGAATTGAGATCCCCCCAGAAGAAGAAGAAAGATGAACTCATGAAATCTCCAACGGCAAGCTTCAGTTAACAAACACCAGCACATAATTCAAGAGCAGGGAGAATGCTCATATCCTGTCTGACATGCTGTCCATGTAATAGCAGGTGGACAGAAGATCCTGTGTGACTGGGAAACTGAACCTCTAGGCCTTAGGTATGTTTCCATTCCTAAGAAAGCAGGAAAACTGGCTTACCTCACATTTAATAATAATTATTACTTAAGAATAATAATTATTTTTTAATAATTTTAAAAATCACTCATGCCTGGCCAGCATGGCTCAGTGGTTAAGCATCAACCCATGCACCAAGAGACTGCCTGTTCAATTCCCGGTCAGGGCACATGCCCAGGTTGGGAGCTGGATCCCAGAGAGGGACATATAGGAGGCAGCCAGTCAATTTTTCTCTCATCAATCTTTCTCTCTTTCTCTCTCTCTCTCTCCTTTCCCTTCCTCTCTTTCTAAAATCAATTTTTTTAAAAAAAATCACTTGACTTCTTATTTTCAAGTTTCCAAGACATCTTTCAATCACAGTCATATCTGACCCACTTCTGAAATAATTCAGGAAAATAGTAGAGGCCAATAAACCCTTTTGCTCTCATTTGCAAAATGGATGGTAGGCAAATGCTTCAAGGAAAGAGCCTATTAAAACACATGGTATTTCCTCTTCAATTTTAGGATGCTGGGTAGGAGCTTCCTGACTTCTCACAGGAGCCTGAAGAGTCACTGCAAACCCCAAATGGTCCACAGAAACTGGGAAAGCCAGCCACCTCTACCCCGAGAATACCATGTTAATTTACTGAGAAGGCACCAGGGACAAGGGAGTAGGCAGCTAGCTGGGCTGTCAGTTTCTGCATCTTGCCAAGCACCATACAAACCTTAGCCGTTTTCAAAATGCCATCGTTGGTTACTGGGTCTGTGGTGACAACAAATTGGCCGTCGTCGTTTATTACAGTGTACACGGCCTCCCACGCAGGGGTTCTGGGGAGGTCGGCATCCGTCACTTTGAGCGTAGCGATGACGGCATCAGCCTCGTTCTCAGGAACCTGCCCCTGGTACTGCAGAACAAGGGAGAAGATGGGTCACACATGACATCCTGAGACACGACAGTGAAATCAGGTCTCAGGGGGCTGAGGGGATGCTCAGAGGAAGAGGCCACTCAACCAGAAGGACCCTTCTTTCCTGTCGGTGGATCGGCTAGCACTTGGGAGTACCTAAAGCAGCTTTCCAAGGCCCTGGCTATCAGGGCCCCTCAGCAGACTCTGGCTCAGTTATTAAGAATTCTAAAACACTAAACTTAGTCTACAAGGTCCTGCAGGACCCACCTCATGTGGCTCGCTGCACTGTTTTGCAGTTCTTGCCATGCATCAAGCTCCCTCTTGATTCAGGGCCTTTTGCCTATGCTGATCCTTCTGCCTGCAACACGTCCATCCTCCCCTTGTCCCACACTTGCCAACCTCCTTTTGGGTCTTAGTATAAATGTTACTCCCTGGCACAATGTCTAGGTGAGGGTGGCAGACACTGCTAATTGCCTACTGAATATCCAGTCTCCCCTTCGTCACTGATGGTAATGTTGGAGGCAGCAATGTTCCCAAATAAAATACTCTATTTTGAGTCTTCCTTTGCAGACAGCAGTTGTTAATGAGATGTAAACAAACTTTGTGGGATGGATCGTCCCAGAAATAAGAGGACTTAACTTAGCAGCAATGCCTTTTGCACGCCTTGCCCTTGCCTCCCTCCTGGGCCACAAGGTGACACTGAGGATGGAAGTCATGCCCCAAGACAAAGCAGGCTTAGTCTCTATTGCCAGAATGGACTATCTACCTCTGGATTTTTTGTGACACAAAAGAAAAAGTCAACCCGATTTGTTTAAACCCCAAGAGTCTAGTCTCTGTTACTAACCATTGAGCTGACTTCTAATTAATACAATAAGATTTAAGGTTCTTTTGTGGGGCTTAGTCCCTTCTCCTGCACCACATTTAATATAATTGCACACAATCATCCGTTTAAGTTGTCTAACATCTCCCTGGATAGACTATCAACTTCATGAGAATGGCATCTTGGTCTGCCCTGTTGGTGATAATATCTCCAGGGTCTAACATAGTGCCTGGTATAAATTCAGAAAATGTTTGTTCAATGAATAACTAGAACCTGGTAAGATTTGCTACCAAGATGCACAACACAAGGACAGGGCTTCAATAGATGCTTTTTGTCACTGCACAAAATTCTGCCAAAAGGCACCAGGTAAAGACCTCAGCCACCCCAATCGGTTTGCTTCTTAGTTTAAAGTTCACTAGTCTGGGGAAAGTTTTCAATGGCTTCACTCAGGAACAGTTGTAAAGCGACTAAGGACCTTCCTTTGGAAACCATCAAGGAGTTGCAGAATTACCGTGGTTGGGTCAAATTCCGGAGCGTTGTCATTGATGTCAAGGACCGTGATCACAGCTTTCGCAGTTGTGCTTAAGCCGTCACCTTGAAGGTCAGCAGCTTCAATCACCAGAGAGTAGTTGGGAAACTTCTGCAGAGATCGAACACACCCAAGTTAGGAACCACAGCCACATCAGCCCAGCCCATGGCATAGACACAGATATTTTATCATCTGCTTAAATGCCGGCCTAGCAGCCTGTCCCCTAGGCACAAAACCTCTGCACACATGTTTGGATGCAAAGCTCAGACCATGACCATGTAAGTGACAACTGGCCTCAGCAGGGTTTTGCGTTGTCCATGGATTTAGCTATTGTGCATTTGCCCACAACACCCTCTGGATCTTTTCCCCCCTAACCTCACGGTCCAGCCCGGTCGTGAGCACGCTGATGACTCCTGTTTCCTTGTTGATGGTGAACATTTGCTCATGAGGCTGATTAGGCTCTTGGCTGATGATCTTGTAAGCGATGGCAGCGTTGTAGGTGTTCACTTCATCATCTGCGTCCGTGGCTGAGACCTGCATCACGGGGGTTCCTGGAAGCATCGAAGGAGAGGGAGACAGTCAAGCTGCACTCCAGGCTCTGGGCAGTACTGCTCAACTCAACTCTGTACAGAGCGATGAAGGCGGGGCCCCGGGAAACACTGTGACACAGGGCTTCTGATCGCTAATTTCCAAATTTCTTACCAAGGTGCTACCACAGGAAGAAAGCCTTCCCCCAAATAAGCCGTGTTCCAAAAACTCAATTTTCCCAGCAAATATTTTGGGTGGAGGTGGATGTGAGGAGGAGATGGGAAATAGGGTGAGGGCTAAACTAAAACATTTTGCCACATCTCTTATACTGAGTGAATAGCCTGAAAAATAGGAAAAATCCCAAGACTTCAGCAACTGGCTTCTAGGCCACAGCTTCAACTGAGAGAATGGATCCTTTGAGATTATTGCCTTCAAGGTGGGAGAAAATATTTATAACACATGTTACTAATAGGATTACTTGTAGGACATTTAAATAGCTCTAAAAGTTTATAGGAAAAAGGTATATAGCCCAAGGGAATAAAAGGGTAAATGATTTGAACAGAAAAGTCGTCAAGGAGAAACTCAAGCCTGTCTGGTATGGCTCAGTGGTTGAGCATAGACCCAAGAACCAAGAAGTTGCCGGTTCAAGTCCTGGTCCCGGCACATGCCTAGGGTTGGGGCTTGGTCCCCAGTGTGAGGTGTGCAGGAGGTAGCTAATCGATGATGTTTCTCTCTCATCAATGTTTCTATCTCTCAATCCCTCTCCCTTTTTCTCTCTCTAAAAAAAATTCAATAAAAAGATTTAAAAAAAGAAACTCAAAAGGCCAACAAACATAAGATGCTTAGCCTGTTAATAATAAGAGAAATGCAATTTTAAACTGTACTGAGAAATCATTACACATTGACTAAAGCTAAAAAGTCTAATAATTCCAGGATATACACTGCTGATGGAAGTGCAAATTGGTTTGACCACCTCGGAAAACAGTTTATCACCATGTAGAAAAATAGGCAAAACTAACAAGATTTTATCTAGAGGCAAGTACACATATGGTAGAAGACAAATTAAAAACAAGTAAACAAGGGAATAATTACCACAAAGAACAGGACAGTGTCTACCTCTAGGGAAGGAGAAAAAAATGTGATCAGGAAAATTATATGAAAGGTTCATACTACTGTTTAGTGAAGGAAGGTTGTGTTTAAATCCCTCTGATTTAAAACACATTTTTAAAGGTAGAGTGCTACATGCATACACACAGACACACACACACACACACACACACACACACACACACACACAGTGGCTTTCAAAGAAGTTCTGTCCACAAGAAGGGCCTGACCCCAAGCGCCAGCCCCAACACACTGGGGTCCAGAGAACCTAAGCATCTTTCTGGATATCTGGCTCCTCCTTACCTGGGAGAGCACCTTCCTTGACAGACCCCTCAAAGACCGCCTGGGTGAACTCAGGCCTGTTGTCATTCTGATCTGTCACTGTGATCACAATCTCCATCGGATCCTCAATTGCATTCCCGTTGGAAGACACAGCGTGAGACAAGAGCTGCAAGAGCCAAGGGAGGGTTACTTGGGCCCCAAGGAGAAAAGAAGTGGGAGAAGTGGCCCGACCACAGAGTGGGCTCCACATGGTGTCCCCTCCTTCCCCCTCTCTGAGCCCCGCGTGCCAACATCATCACTGGCCTCTACTTTTAGCTCCAAGAGTAGGCTGATATCTGGGGTCTAAAGTTGTGCGTGATACATAAGGACTTTCCCTGCTTTATTCCTAACAACAAAAATAATTTAGCGACCCCCATATCCAGGTTCTTCCGTCATTTCTCTTTATCAATAGGTCTCAAAGTGACAAGTTAAGCCCCTCATACATCCAGAGTCTCGAATCTAGGGATCCTAATCGGTTGACCAAACACTTTGGGAAAGATGGGACCCCATCATTAATAAGCTTCTAAGAGATACTCACTGTGTACTTGGCAATTGCTTCTCTATCCAGAGGCTGCGTCACCTTGAGCCATCCTGTCTCCCTTTCAATAATAAACACACCGACGGGGGGTGCGTCAGCTCCTTGGCCAGTGATGCTGTAGAAAACCTGTGTCTCTTTGTCTTTATTAGACTTGATCTGGAGACAAAACAGACACAGAATTAGCAAGGGAGGGTCCTTACATTCGGTCTTTCTCCTTCCTCTCCTTGTTCCTTTTCTGCCAAATTCCTCCCAAGAAAATAGAGAACATCCTTTTCTACCTGGACCAGATTCTTAGGAAATGGCCCTTTGTCATTTTCTGTGCAGCTGATGGGAGGGATAACCCAGTCTCTCTTCTGTCTTCTGAGACCATGGTGGGAGTCAGGAAATGTGAGCACTTCCATCTGGGCTTTAGGGAGAGAGTCCTAAAAGGAAAAGAGATGAAGAACATAATGAGATAATTCTTGAGAAATAATGCCGACCAAACAGTCCAATCTATCCACTGAGCATCTCCATCCTTGTGGGGGCAACAAGTGATTTTAAGTTAATAACAAAATTAACAGCCAAAACAAAATACAATGAACCCTTTGCCATAATAAAGAAAGTGTTCTCTTTTGGTCTTCCTTAGTATCCAGAGTTCAAGTAATCATTATACATGCACGATGACAAGTGTGTGGGTTTCATGTTATTTTCTAAGTATTTTAAGCCTACAATGTCACACTTGTCACATTTTTAAAATTTTATTTTTCCATTCCAGCTTACAGTCAATATTACTTTGTACTAGAGGCCCCATGCACGAAATTCGTGCAAGAGTAGGCCTTCCTTCCCCCAGCTGCCGGCACCGGCTTCCCGCTGGCATCTGGGACCTGAACTTCCCTCACAGCCCCGGCTTCATCAGGAAGGTCGTCCAGTCTAATTAATATATATATTAATTTCAGGTGTACAGCATAGTAATTATATAATCATATACTTTACAAATCACACCTGTCATTTTTAATAGAACAGTATACTCCAATGATTTTGTATTAGAGCTTTTTCAGCAACTGGATATCCTGGGGTTTTAATTTCTTTTCCAATATTTTTCCTAGGGTTATAGGTCCCCAAATAGAGATGTCAGCCAAAATCAGTATGTTTTGGGACCTGATACTAAGAAGTACTTTGTGATCAATACAAATCTCTTACTCTTGTGGTGTCATTATATCCATAAGGTGTCCATTTGTTCTAACAGAAGCTGTAGGGATGGAAACCAAATCCATCCTTTGAGACTTGTTTTGAACAGTTTTCATGTGTGATAATGATAATGTTATGCAAACACAGGGAAATAAGATAGTGGATGATGGAAGGGAAAAAAAATCTTCCAAAGTGTCTTAAGTGTTTTAAAGTGATCAGTGGTAACACGGTCAAAGTTACAGAGGACAATTCCATTCCCCACCATCTATAAAGTCATTGGTCACTGTTTGCCCAGTGTGATTCAAGCCCTAGTTTCTGGTTTTTTTCAAATTTGACTCAAAATGCACAAGACAAACATGAGATGTGACCAAATATCACCTCAAAATCCTTCCCAATTCTGCATACTTCACACACACACACACACACACACACACACACACACACACACACACACACCATCTCACACTCACATTAACATCTCACATTAACATCCTAGAGAAGCAGTCCTGCCTGGGTAAAGGGCAGGCTCTGGAGCCAGCTGCCTGGCTTT